TGTTGTAAAATTAGTGTGTTAAAGTTTATTTCTTGTTTGCTTTTATTGAAAAAGTTTTGATTGTATTTTCATTTACTTTCTATTTATGAATTTACTTGAGGAGCCAAATTTTACTCGTACTTCTTTTTGTAATAACAATAAGATTGACGCGCACAGTAAAAACTGACCTGTCATGGTAACTATTTTAAAAGGTTATAACCAGTTACAAAAGGTAACTTTAACCTATAATAAATTAGTTAAAATCGTAACCTTTATGCTATTGGTTAGATTGACCAATGATCAGCAGTCGTTGTGACGGTTATAATTCCGTTATAACATTGACTGGTAAAAATAACTTTTTATGACAGTCAAAATAACGAAACCAAATGGTTAAACAAATGGTATATTTTTGAGTTGGATGGTACGCGGGCACGAGAGGCGAAGCCGCGTGAAGCGACTGCCATTTTCTTCTCTCAACGTTTCCCTCGACGGACTAGCCGAGAGAACTAATCGTCATCTAGGTTAAGGTGGCTCCCTAGAGTAAATTGGCCGTGCGAAGCCTGAGCACTAGTATTGCGCGACGTCCACGCAAAAATTAAAACAAACATGGCCTCTCAGGTTCGAAATATTTCCCCCAAAACTTTATCAACTTTCTGTTGAAGCTCATTGTGCAAAGCGTTTGATTAGTGAGGGTCAAACATTTATGAGAGGAGACAATGTTACACCGGTTACAAGTCACAGGGGCCGATCCAGGATTTTTTTTAGGAGGGGGTGCACTCGTCTCTTGCTCTACTTCAACACTAATGAACCACATAGTTTTTTTTTTTTGGCAGAATACCAGTTGTATTAGAAAACCGCAGGTCATCTCAGGGGGGGGGGGTGCGCACCCCCTGCACCCTCCCCCTAGATCCGCCTCTGAGTCACTATCGATCTCCATAAGAGTAAATTGTATGTAAAAACAAAGCAGAAATTTTTCAAAGACATCAATTCTTTCGCTTCAAAAGTATACAAACGTTAAATAGTCGAAGTAAATGGTGAGTGGAAACTTTACTTCGAAAACAAAGAAGTAAGTACACTAACCCAGAAGGAAGCAATGTTGCTGTTTCTGGCCTTTGGTTCACGGTCAGTGGAAAGATCTGAAAGATCCAGGTTTCGCAGAATTTCCCACTTGCGATAGAGAGAGATTCCGCACACGCTGGTTCAACAATCGAGGACTGTATACTTCCGTACAAATCTGACTTTAGTCTTCACAATTCAACATTACACGTTCCGTTCTACGCTCAATTTCAATCTAACTAAATTCTACAAAAATGCTGCTTATATTAGCTAAGGAAGTCCACACCCAGAAGCGTAATTCCGGCGTGCTCACGTTTAATATCGATTCGTGGGCACTAATTTCAACTAATTTCCTATTAAGCGTGGGTTTACTTGACAATTATGGTGCTAATCGTTATGTGCGGTTAAGCTAGTAATACCCGATTAAATACAACATTGGTTAATTCTAATTATCTTATCCCACGATATTTCCTGTTACTATCTAAACATCTGTTTTAGCGGTGGCGAGATAATGGCTTACTTTATCAACTACTGAAATTTTAATGAAATAAGAAAATACAATCATAAGCATTCTAACGTTTCACAACAGATCGAGCCAATTCCTGAACAAACACTGAAGATTGTCTTCACTGGCAGAGCACCTCGGTCCCTTTTAATATTTCTCTAACATTTGATTTGATTTAAGGAATTCTAGAAGTGGCTTTAAGACAAGATTACAGGGACTGTAATTTTTTGTTTTTTGTTTTCCCGACTCTATCACATTGTTTAAAAAACTTATCAGAGAAAAGGTTTCCCACTTAACTTGCATCCTAATCGAAGGAACCTTTCCATCGACGAACCAACATCGATGAATTTTTTCTTGTTTCAAACGTTCTTCAACGCACATTCAAGGTGTACTAGAAATGTTGTTTTTGCACAACGAGAAATAATTTTTACTCACAGATTGACGCTTGACGAAAGCAATAGTTGTCCGTCGAGACCTACGGTCTTGTACGCGTAGCTGAGGACATGATGTACGATTTGTAGATCGGCGCCATCTTTTACAGCAGACTTTTAAAGAAAAACTTCGCCGACGAAACAGTAACAGTATCTCACGCAGGCACGTCAAGCGGTCAAGTCAGACAAGTGAACTGTTATTTAGAGGACTACAAGCAGGGCTGCTCTGCCTTAATCCTCTAAGGCCCAGCAGTATCCAAACAATCTTTCTAGACTGATTTCCATACATATCCGTAACGAATTAATTGAAAGAATTGGTCAATTGATTAAGGCATATGAACAGCATTTACAGTACAGTTGATCATTAAATTTTGTGATCAGCTAATCATTGATATGGTTTGGAGATAACGTCAGGAGTCTAACCACTCTTCATAGTAAAGGCAAATTGCTCCTTGTGGTTTTAAAGTATTGTTTTCATTTGTTTTATAGATTGATGGTCTTGCAGTAAGTAAGATGAATGAATCCCACTTTAAAGAGCTTGGGTTAAATGCTATGGGAGACCAACTTGCTTTAATAGCATTTCGTACCCAAAGTCCAAATTTAGATGATAAAATAGAACGTCTTAAAGAAGCACTAAACAGCAGAGGAAAGCGTTCAGGAGATCAGTCAAGAACAACTGTAGATGGTACAGTTTGCAGATCTAAAAGAGCTTCCAAATCAATCTTAAAGGTGGAATTTGGTTTGAAACATCTCATTAATGGCAAGTATGTGCAGGTAAAGAAGGAAAAGGTGATGGAAATCGCACAGTGGGAATGCCGAGGCATGCAAAGTATAAAGAATGTTTATTAAAAGCACAGGAACTTTTTTTCCCCAGTCTGAATAGCCAGTACGGCAAATATTCAGGAATGACTTTACCTCAGCTTTACCTGGTAACAAAAGCAAAGGTTCAAACTAGTAAGCATCCCAGTCTGAGTTTGTGACATAAAATTTGAGGCTGACATTCTAATTAGAGAGGTCACCTTCTACGGGAATGTTTTGTTCCACAGGTTTTTTTCTTGTAATTATTATACCCCCCCCCCCACCCACCCCTCCCTCTGCCGATGAAAAGAGTAAAAGAAATGATCCCCAATGTCTTCAATAAATATAAATTCGTTTTCTGACAATACAAGCTTGAGTGGAGAGTTCTTCAGAACTCTACTATCTAAATAATTCTGTGAAGTGAATGAATGCATTCTAATGAAGTTTTTATTATGATAATTACCAATAGGCAATCTTGGTGTTTATAACAAGAGTTATTAGTGAACTTACATTATTTGTATGCAACAGGACAGTAGAGGAAAGAAGACAGCGTACCTTGTATGACAAGCATGACAAAATTTCGTTTGGAAACATTTTCCATGAAACTTCACCTTCCATAAACAGATATTTTTGTACAAGATCAGAGCACATTTATGTTAAGTGAAGTTCATGACGAACAGGCAAGACATCTGTTTTTTTAGACTGCCATCCTGTTGTATGAGCTCACTTTTAATGATTTGTGGTTGCCAACCTAAAAAGCTCTTTTAGCTTTAACATTAAAAATACCCAAAACATCGACTTCTATTAAAGGAAGAGACAATAAGTTGATGATTATAAAGAAATTGCGAAGTCTGATCTATTGATTTGGTGAGAATGTTGTGCCATAAAAATGATATATTTTTATCCTTTCTCTTTTCAAGGAGCTGTGCAGAAGAAAATTACTAGTGTGTCTGACAATTTGCCTACCAGTACGGTACTGTAATGTTGAAATACTGTAATGGTTAATTTCCACCTTTACAATCTAAGAGCCCAGCCTCATGCACTCTTAGCAACAAGAAGGAAAACAGATTCTTGGTGACTGATTGTTTTTCCTTTGTGTTGTTGATTTCAGGATACACTTTCTCAACAAAATGAGTTGCATATATCAGACGAGTTGCCTGTTAATTTTATGGAGGTACATGTCTCAGTCATAATCTTTAAAATTAGGTTTCCTTTTGCTTCACAGGAGGTTTTCAACAAAGTTTTTAAAACTGTATCTCGTGTCTTGTCAATTTATTTGTCGCGTGTTTTAATTGATCCTTGTTAAGTTATTAATTGTTTTTTTTTTTTTTACAATAATAAGTCAAGGTGCTCCCTTGGGTCTAGCTGTAGAGATGAACTAATTTATATTCAAGTTTCGGCTTGTTAACCCGCATAATTAACTGACTAACGGCGACCATAAGCTCATCAAGCGCTGAGATTTCAATAGTTAGTCGTTTCCTCGAGATAGAACGGAGAAAACGCTTTCGTAATGGTGAGTCAAAATTGAAATAGAGAGTTTTCAGCTCCACTCTGTGTGGGTGTGTGTGTGTGTTTTGTTTATATATCTAATTTTTAGGGCTAAACAAGAACACATGTGTTGCCAGGCGATCGCACCTCTTATTCCTATTTTTATAAATAGACTTGCTACTCATTAGGAACAAGAATGGAGTTGATTTAAGAACCAAAAGAGTTAGGGTTTACTTTAGAACCACCTGTTGTTTTCTATAGAATTTTCATATGCTGTGTAATACTTTCTACAGAGTCAGGTAAATAAAAAATGACATTTTTGCTTGATAGGCAGTTTTTCGCTTCGCTCAGCTTCGACCTCGTTTTCATGTTTTGCCTGAAAAATTAGTACAATTTCGCATTCGCTTAACCTCCTTTTCCCTTCTTTTGAAGTAAAGATTTTTCAGTTAACCTCCGTGTCTTGGTTTTGTTTATAACCGATTTTTAGTTAAAATAATTTAATGATTAAAGATTTTTAATTTAGTATAATCTGCACAGATAACACATTCAAAATTTGCCCGCTTTTATTTTGAACACATGACAGTTTCTACATATCCTATCATAAGACTATAGCGAACAATATCTAATCAGAAGACTGTAGCAAATAGCTAATTATATAAAAATCACTTTTCTGTTTATAGATTATGATCTCGACATTTTTTGATGACGTCAACTCTAGGAAATTCTGACGTCACTTGCTTCTTGCCAGCTACAAATAAACTATGACATCATCCTATCTATATGACATGTATGACGTCAGCCAGCTAAAAATAAACTGACATCATCCTATCTTAACGGCATGCGTGACGTCATCGGCATTAATTTAAAGTATTATATCATCCTATCTTAATGAGCTGCATGACGTCATCTGGCTTAATTTATTCCCCCGAAAGTTAATGGAATTCCCTCGCAAAGAAAAGGAGTAAAACATCCCTCCTCTACTACTTCTGTCCCCTTTATCCTCTCTTGATTGGTGGGTATGAACGAAACAAGGCACATAAGGACTGGGGATAATTCAAATTCAAAGTAAACTGAGCAATGTCCATGCATACTGATCATGAGACGAGTGCACTTAATCTATGAGGTTCCTACCCATCACGCTTAGAATGGCTAACTTGCTTGTTTTTATTCATAATGGTGGAATTAAGAAGTTACTATACAGCCCCGATTTAAAAAATGGTACTCATTTTCCTTGTCACGAAAGTCATCCAAAAGGGTACAATAAGTGCGTACCGCCGCCCCCTCCCCTCAGAAAAAATCGCCCCTTGGCAGTCAAGTTAAAATCGCCTTTTGGCGATTCTTGTTTTTAAACATACATGTGCACTTGACTGTAATCCTTGAGATCACCGCTGTCACGTAAGTTCTGCGAAAGCAAACGATAAATTCGCACATTATTCTTATGTCAAACCTAAAGCGTGGTAATAAAATGAAAAACAAAAGAAAACAAATTAAGAAGTAGAGAACGTAACGACCTGAGATTGCCACTGCAGCATGAACGAAAGGAATTACGATTTGGACACGTTTCATGTTTTGCTACATCGAACAACTATGACTACGCCCAGACAATGTAAAAAATACCTTGAAAAAGTTAATCCACCAATCCATGTCAGAATGCCACAAATATGCCCACCACGCTTCTGTGCGCTGGATAAACAAGAACAGAATTACGGTTTTAGAAAAAGAAGGCTATCCACGGATCGATCGCGTATATAAAAAATCACCGTTAAAAGATATGCGCAGAAAGGATAACATTATCCTGGGTACCAGCACACTTTTCATGTGTGGCTTCGAGATTCGGAAGAGTCGTTATAGTAACACTCGTTTTTACAAGAATAAATTTAATAAGAACATCGAGGCTGAAATTTGCAGAATTTTAGGACTGTTTCAAGAATAAAACCCGAGGCTGGGATTTTAAAAAGGATATACTATTATGTTTGTTGAGAATGTGTTAATACAGGTTTGTGGGGAGGAGCGTTGTGTGACAACACTAAAAACGGCTGTGTAGCAGACTACAAAACTAACCAACAAAACGAAAAAAACCTGCACTATAAGCTATAACTGATACCCCAATACATTATAAAACATAGGCACGTTCAACGTGCATGAGCTATTTTGAATGCTTCAGTGTAACTATAATACTTCGGTGTAACCTTACCAAGAGTGATGAATCTACCTTTTTCATCCTAAATGTAGATTTGGTTTTTGTGCGAAATTGGGTATTGCGCTACATAAATGAAAACGCGAAACGCTCAGCTGAGTCGATCCTCAACCTATGTATTCACTTTCCTCTGTCTTTCCCAGTTACATCTGGTGCAAGTTAAACAAATTGCTAAAGTAAAATAAATTTCTACTCACCAAACGTTGATTAGAAGGAAAACTCTAAGGTTTCCTCGGAGTTTCTTAAGCCAAAATGTGACTCATCGAATACTGAATAGTTACGAAATACCAGGATTTTTATCATTGAGGTAGATGGTAGCGTCATCATAATTCACGAGGTTTTCACGTGCGATTCTACTCAGTGAAACAGTCTTTAACTCCGACAACTTATTTCTTCATGTTTTAAAAGCTATTGCGTCTTAAAAGGCAAGAGCCTTTTTTAAGGCATTGGTTACAAAACGAAACAGGCCTTCATACGTCCAAGTTACTATTTATTATTGTGAAAAGCCAATCTGCATGAGATGTACAGTCACACAGCTGGCACGAGAAAGTGTTGGACTTTGTCCCCTTTCGTGGTTCGTACGTGAGGGAATTCGAGTTATCACACAATAAACTAGTAAACAGAATTATAAAAATAACTCTTGCACACAATTTGCACGTGAAGATGTTGGTCTTTGGCCCTTTTACAATTCGTACGTTAAAAAAAGGCAAATTGTTTACTACAAAATTTTCTCAAGCGATTTTAAGAAATCACCTCGGCTTCATTACAACATCTGCAATTAAATTATGTTTCATGCAACGTCAAGGTTGATAACCTAACATTTATTAACATTTGTCAGACAGTCTTTAACTCCGACAAATTATTTCTTCATGTTTTAAAAGCTATTGCTTCTTAAAAGACAAGAGCCTTTTTTACGGCATTGGTTACTAAACGAAACAGGTCTTTATACGTTCAAGTCACTGTTACTATTGTGAAAAGCCCATCTGCATGAGATGTACAGTCACACAGATGGCACGTGAAAGTGTTGGACTTTGCCCCCTTCCGTGGTTCGTACGTGAGGGAATTCGAGTTATCACACAGTAATCGAGTAAACAGAATTATAAAAATAACTCATGCACACGATTTGCATGTGAAGATGTTGGTCTTTGGCCCTTTTACAATTCGTACTTAAAAAAAGCGCAAATTGTTTACTACAAAATTTTCTGAAGCGATTTTAAGAAATCACCTCGGCCTTATTACAACATCTGCAATTAAATTATGTTTCATGCAACGTCAAGGTTGATAGCCTAACATTTATTAACTTCCAAGAAAATTATCAAACTGCCGAAATATATTTCTGCTCATATCATGTTACTCCACTCAATAAAGCAGTACCTAATTATTGTGTCAACTAGCTTCTTCCAATTTTATTCCCTAACGCTACTGTTTCTACTTAAGTTTATACGCATCTTTACTAAATAAAATACGTTTCAATAACTATAATGCTTAGTATGCAGGAAGGATGTATCATGTTGTTCACTTATTATTCCTTTTTGTTGTTGTTTTGCCGGAACGAAAAAGGTCTGTTGAACTTTGTAAGCGAGAGAATAATATTTCTACAGCTTGTTTACAGGATTAACAATACTCGGTACAGCTTTTAAAAAAATAAGCTGCTTTTCAAACTTCTAAAACCACATTTTATAGGCCGCATACTTTCGAATTAAAGTCCATATCTAAATATCAATTATTGCTTCACTGGAAGAGCTTTGAAAATATATGATCGTTTATACTCTACCTTGAAGCAGGTGAAACACAACTCATAAATACGTGCGTCGTACCGTTCGCGATAGCCGAATTCGGTCAGAAATGTCTTGAAGTAGCATCCACACTAAAATATGAAACCTTAAACAGCTGCATCACTGTACACAGCGTTTGAATCATGAAGATATTTAATATAATGTTTCCAAACACCTGTAGCCGTAATAAAAGACGAACAAATTGTAAAGAATCAAAATGGCGGTCTTAAAGTGCCCTTGTTTGACCTTAAGCAATGTGATTTTTAACTAGATGCCAAGATCTCATTGGTTCCTTAGCATCAACTCATAGTACCTTCAACCTTATTGGCTCTTGCAACAAACATCCGAACATACAAAGTTACAAAGATACAAAGTTACAAAGTTACAAAGTTACAAAGATACAAAGCCACAAAGATACATACGGTCACACCACTGACATATGAGCTATTTTTTCAAAATAGCTCAAACAGAAATGCCATAACCTATCATTTAAGGTAGTACAAGAAAATTGTCAGCCTAAAATGGGCAGAAAATAAGAATACTCAACCTAGGACGGGAAAACAACATTCCTGAAAAAAAAAGAGTGATACCGCGCGAAAAAAGAAAACTGTGCAGTTGGAAGCATCCAGCCGCACGGCAGACAAAACTTCGTGTACACAAGGTAGGAGAGGTAGGAGCTGTGCGATGAAGAATCTCTAAGTCTTTTTAGCTTCTGCCACGCAAGCAGCCAGCTGCAAATGTGTAACCAGGCACAGTAACTAAAATTGGTTGGCTGATTATTTTTACCTGATTTGCTGTGGATTTTCCGTTCATAAAACTTTTGTCCCCAGAAAAGCTGTCACGTCCGTTGGCCCTAAAAAGCTTTTGTAAGACTTCCACTTTTACATTCTCGGTGCCAAGATCGGTACGAACAATCCTTGCGGTCCCTAAAATTAAAAGAATAACGACAAGGGTCTTTATTTACACGTGTAGGGCTTTGGAAGGTTAGAGAAACGGACTTCAAACCGGCCAAATTCTACCTTTCATCTGGCAGACGCAACCCAGAAAGTGATCAGCAATAACAGCAGCATCGTTGTTAGTGCTCCCGACTTCCAACCACATAATCCGTCTAGAAAACCTATAAAAAAGGTTAACGGTGAGGCATTGGTGGCAAGAGAGGACAAAGGGGACAGAGAGGGCATCCTCCGTACATACCCTATTCCATAGGTAATTCGTCTCGAGTTATTTTTAAGACCACAGATCCTAAGGGGGATTAGACAACAGCCAATCACCTAGCGCGAATGTGTTCCGCGTGGATGACCCACGCTCGGAGCCACGCGTCCTTCACGAATTGAGGCAGAAAAAAATGGCGGAAGACGCGGAGAGCGATATTGCTATTCGTTTTGTCGACGAAAACGACTAAAGAGAGATTTCTGCTAAAGCCATGTCAGCGAAACGGAAATTAAAAAAGAATCGCCTTTCCTCTCTTGCTAACAGTACAACAGGGAAATCCTTAACACACTGAATATTCTCTCAGGATCATTTATAGTTTACAGTTTGAAGAGAGCAATTTCTGGTTTGAT